TCTCTCTCTCTCTCTCTCTCTCTCTCTCTCTCTCTACATATGAAATGGAGAGATTAGAGTAAAGCTGAAACCCACTAGTCCAACTTCACCTGCAGCGCCCTGTACATGTGTGTGTAAGGATTGATTGATTCTAGTGCTCTCTCTACTTAATTCCCCCAACATATAGTCTTGAAAAATTCACCCATGTTGGACAACCACACTGCTTCTTCCTCTGCTGCTCCATCTTCTTCCTCTCATGATGCCTTAGAAAATGGAGGAGCCACTCACAAAAGAAAAAGAAGACCAGCAGGCACACCAGGTAATTTATTTATTTAAAACTTCATTAACAACTCCAATATCCCACAAACCCTCTTCTGATTTTTAATCTTCCTCTTGTTTTTATTTTTTGGGGTTTTGATCGTTTGATTCACACATGTCTGTTTATAGATCCGGATGCAGAAGTTGTGTCTCTGTCTCCCAAGACCTTGCTGGAATCAGACCGGTACGTATGCGAGATCTGCAACCAAGGATTTCAGAGAGATCAGAACCTGCAGATGCACAGGCGACGGCACAAGGTGCCGTGGAAATTGCTAAAGAGAGAAATTGCTCAAGATCAGGTCATCAAGAAAAGGGTGTTTGTCTGCCCGGAGCCCAGCTGTCTGCACCATGACCCTTGCCACGCCCTGGGCGATCTTGTTGGGATTAAGAAGCACTTCAGAAGAAAACACAGCAATCACAAGCAGTGGGTGTGCGACAAGTGCTCCAAAGGCTATGCGGTTCAATCTGATTACAAAGCCCATCTCAAAACCTGTGGCACCAGAGGACATTCTTGTGACTGTGGCCGTGTGTTTTCCAGGTTTGTTCAATTTACCATCATCATTATGCTTTTTTCAAAAGCGCCTAGCTTTTTCAACTAGCCAGGCCAAAATCATCATCTGAAATCTGAACATGGTCGGTCAGGCTTTCTGTTGTGAATCATTTATTGCAAGAGGCCATTATAATTTATAGTACCATATACAGTGTACTGGTTGATAGCTAGCCATAGCCTAGCTAGCTCCATTCAAATGTTATGGCCTTTCTTCCATTTTCGTTCAAACCCTAAAAGCTCATCCCGTAAAAAGCATGTTAATTACCTGTCACAGATAAGAACAAATCTTGAAATCCTACAATCTACCTTTTTTCTTAAAATAATGATTTATCTTTCTTGTTCTTGATGGCATCGGTTTCTGACCATCATGCTTCTCATGTATGCATTCTTCTGTTCCACTCCCTCTTTCGAATACTGTATAAATCAGTTTCCTAACAGTAGCACATGACCTCATCGATCCTCATGCTTGCTAATTGCCTTTTTTTGTGTTCTTCTACTGCAGCTTACTGTTCCCAATAACATACAGTTTCCGGCAATATTTACCTATCTTTGATAAAAAAACTGCCATACTATATTTTACTTAATTATTTCTTTATATATATATATATAGGTACCCCACATGATTTCTTTTACTTACTTTTTAAACTCGTATTCTGTTTTAATTTATGGAACCTAATCATATAATCCATACTACAGATACTCCCAGTCTATCAATTTAATATTCATTTGCTTCTTGGTAACCCTACATATATATATATATATCAAGGGCTTATGGCTAACGATCTTGTGATAATGTGTGTGTGTGTATATATAGAATTATAGATCTATATATTCAGTTTGAATCATTCTACCTTATCGTGATTTCAGAGTGGAAAGTTTCATAGAGCACCAAGACACTTGCACAGTCCGACATGTCGTCAGGCCAGAATTCCAGGTGGCACTGCAGCCGGCCTGCTCGTCTCGAACCGCATCGAGCACCAGCCCCTCCAGCGACACCAATTTCAGCATCAACAACAACAATAATAATAATGTCCCTCAAGCCTTGCCTGGTCTACCAATGCGGCCAAACCCAACTCACCATCACGATCATCAGCGTGCGCATGCTCTTAATAATCCTCACAGTTCTTGTAACCAGCAGCAGCAGCAGCAGCAGCAACAAGTCCATAATAATAATATTCTGGAACTTCAGCTCCTTCCATCCTCCAACACCCGCACTATCTCCCCACCAAATTTAGACGAAAACCACGCGACCCATTTGAAGCTTTCTATTGGCTCATCGTCATGTGATCAGCGCGGAGATGAAAAGAAGGATCAAACAAGGCAGCCCAGTTCATCAGGTATAAGAAGAAGCTGTTCAAATGCTGAGAAGATGGACGGTGCTGGGCGCACGTTGGAAGTGGCAAGGTTGAAAGAGTTCGCGAGCGAAGAGTTAAAGCTGGCCATGGCTGAAAAGGCGTACGCCGAAGACGCTAGGCGAGAAGCCAAAAGGCAAATAGAGATGGCTGAGCTGGAGTTTGCCAACGCCAAGAGAATGAGGCAACAAGCCCTGGCTGAAATGGAGAAGGCTCAGTTCCTCAAAGAGCAGGCCATGAAGAAAATAAGCTCTGCCATTTTGCAAATCACTTGTCAAGCTTGCAAGCAACACTTCCATGCTTCTGCAACAACCGCCGTGGGACCCTCTGATGAGACCTCTCTTGCGATGAGTTACATGTCCTCCGCCACAACCGAAGGAGAAGGAGATCACGATCAATGACCCCACCGGGCACATGATTATGATTGATGATCATGCAACATCAGCTAGCAAACGATACTGTTAATTAAACCATATTTTGTAATTGGTTTGGTAACTCTTTTTTTACGTTTTTATTGTTTTCACATGCAATGCTTATCTTGTAAACAGACAGACGTCTCACAATCTTTTTTCAGTTTTCATCAGTTTATTATTGCTTTATGAGAGTAGGGATCTTTATTTCTGACCATTGTTGGGGTATTGGTTGAAGAGTGTTGTAATTGGGTTCTTGTATTTAATATTTTGATCTATTAAAAATATATGTATATCTTCATTTGTTACAACTTACGAGAGAGAGAAGAAGGAAAAAAGAGAAAGTGACTTTTCTGGGTTTGCTTTATACATTCAATTCAGTGGTGCATTAATATTTAATAGTACCTTCATATGCATTACTCGTAATTTAAAAAAAAAAATACTTTGTTGTGTTTGTATTATTGTATATAGCGCTTAATCAAAAGAGCTAAAGTCGCTTTATTCGTTGGAAGTCATAATTTGAGTCCTAACTTTATCAGCACTTGCACTACACACACTACTCAGTACTCAGTACTCAGTACACAGTACACAGTACACACTACATGCTATGACAGAAAAAGACAAAAAGAAAAAAGCACCCCTCTTTTTCTTAGAAGCTTACCCTTAATTTGTCTTGGTTCTGAGAGAGAGTGATTTATAAGCATGCATGATTTGGTTAAAACTAAGTTTAGATGGCATGGCAGCCTTGATTGGGTTATAGCTAGCGACCCATAGTTAACAAGAGTAAATTAATTAATTAATTAATCATGGACAGGACAGTGTTGGATTCCATACGTAGAGAAAGGCAAGTTAATTTGGTGGATTAAGTTTATGTAATGTCGGGGTTGGGACCCTGTTGCTAAATGATAGGAAAGCTCCTTTCAGTTTCAGAGATGCTGACCTACATATACTTGAAACCAAATTGAATTAATGGGGAGAGAAAAAGAGGGTACTGTCAACTGTGTGAGAAAGATGGGAGGTCGTTTTCAATGCATTTGTAATCCTTTTAAAGGCTATTTAAAATAAATAAATAAATAAAAAACCAAGAGAGAGAAAAAGAGAAGACCATGTTTTTCAGTGCCACTGTTGGAATTGTTACGCTCAGGCACTCGTCCCTGTCAAACATAAACAACACACACAATTCAATCACTCATGTGTCTGTGTGTGTATGTGGTTATATTTATATTTACACACACATACATACACATACATATATAACTTTATCAGAGTCAGCCTGCGCAGCAGCAGAACTGCACAGTGCCTTTTCATTAATTTTATAGGCCCAATAACAAGGAGATGAGAGCTGAAGGAACACCCAAATTTAATGTTAAAGATTTTCAGAAAAAGTGCGTGTGGTTGCTGATTTTCTTACACCATTCAAACCAAAGCAAAAAGCCAACTTCAAACCAAAGCTGCTCCAAAAGGATTTCCATTTCTCACTCTTCTCTTCTTACCTTTGCTTTTCCTTGTCTCTTTCTCTCTCTCTCTCTCTCTCTATTTCTCTCTCGGGGCCACGTGCACCTCTTTCCCACCTTTTAATGTTTGCCTTACTTTTCATGGATGTCTAGTGGATTGGCTAGCTACCGTATCCATCCGCATATGGTTAGCAGAGACAAGGAAGGGAGGCATTCTTTTCAAAATTTACCTCTTGCGTGTTACGGGCATCTTCCATTTTCAATTTGCTTTTTATCCTTTCACAGTTCACCCGCTAACACTATGAATATCAACTCTCATTCTTTATCTTTGGTGTTCAGATCAAAATCTCTAATGAAAATTTAAAATATATATATATATATATATATAAATTATGACTAGTCAAAGTTTTATACGCTCGCGAGAGAGAGAGAGAGCGCCCTTGAATTGAAATGAAAGGAATTATACCTAAAATTTGAATAAAGATATTTGTATATTACAAAGGAAGAGAGCACTGTATCTGTATATGAAGAAGAGAGGTGGCATCTTTTAGATAAATAGAGACAAAACCTTTTTCCGACATCAACCGTAGGGTAGCGAGTGGATGGAACTTTCCATTTCGCCTTACAGCAAGTCAGATATTAAAGAAAGAAAAAGAAGAAGAAAAAAAGTAATTACAAAAAATTTCGAAAAGTAGCTAAAGTCACTGTTCGTTTGCCTTTGCCCACTCAAAAAGTAAAACTAAAACTTAATGTAGGACGAATATGTATATTCCCTCCCTACTTACAAAAGTTGGGGGGAAATAAATATCTTTCTTCAGGCTCTGCTGTCCCATGTCTTAATTAGTTTATATCTTCATCCATATATGATATATATCCCCAACCCCCAACAAGAGATGAAAAATCAAAACCACCCTACTCTGGAGATTCCAGGAGATTCCATTACACAAGGCACAGCTTCCCTGGATATTTAAACTAATTGTTCAAGACATACTTGAATTACTTCAACAAGTTCGGATCCGTCATACCTATCGAGAAGCAAATATGGTAGCATCTAGCATATGCACTGTCAAATAAAGGACATGAGGTCTCTTCTAGTTGTATATGGCTCGGTAAGTGATGAAATTAGCTTCAGTAAACCACTAAATTTGAATAGCGCAGTGTGGACCATCCTCTGCTATATATGCATATTGGTGATGGGGGCAGGAAAATAATATCATGAGTGATTGGGTTAATGTATTGTAGCAGTGTAGGCATGGCATGGCATGCAGGGACGGATTTATATTTATGTAGATGGGGTCTAGTCTTCGTCTTGATCTATCACTCAGTGCTAGCTGCAGGGCACCAGCATTATAATCTTGCATCTCAATAAATTATCATCATTCATTGTACAGTACCTACAGTTTCTTTTTTCAAATCTTATAATTTTTTTGGCATCAAATCTGTGCAAAATTGTATCCATAAATACTTGATGATATGATACACTGCTCTCAGCCTCTCAAAAACCCAAGTTGGAGCTGGGTCAGATTCTAAATCAATTTAGACCCAACCCAAGTTACAAATATCACAACTTTAGCTCAAGCTAGCCCAAGTTTTCTAATAAACCACTCAGAAGCCCAACAAGATTTTCAGCTTGGCCAAGTGCTTCTGCTGCGTGGACTGGACTTCCGGAATTTGATTGAAAGTTTGACATACGTACATACAGGGATATGTGACTCAAAACTTTATTGAATAAATAAAGGGGGATTTATAGATGAATTAAGATCAAGTTCCTCTCAGATCCCTTGGAAAATTTTATTTGTGTTCATCTGCTGGCACATATGGAAATGGAGGAATGAGTTTATCTTTAAAAATGAAGCACCGCTACCTTATAATATGCGAGAAATAATTTTGTCTGATGCTAAGGAATGGATTAAAGCTACTGCTGCCATCCAGAATAATATTGATAGGGTGCATGTCATGCTGGCTTGGATTCCCCCTGTTTTGGGGGTGGTTAAACTAAATGTGGACGGATCCCGCAAAGAAAGTACTGGAGCTATTGGTGCTGGAGGAGTTCTCAGAGACCACCTAGGACAATGGCTTGGTGGGTTTGCTGTCAATTTAGGGAAAGGAAAAATTCTTGAAGCTGAGTTATGGGGCTTGTTTTTTGGCCTAAAGCTTGCTATGGAAAAACATGTTGATGATGTTGTTATTGAAATGGACTCAGCTATTGCTGTGAAACTCATACAGAATGCTGAGGTGGATAATTTTCATCCTACTGCTGGCCTGGTTAGTAATTGCAAGAGGATCATGAACCAGTTTAGAAGGGTTGACATTCAACATATTTATAGAGAGAGGAATTCTGTTGCAGATGGTTTAGCTACTTGGAGTCACAACCTTGACATGGGGTATTGGTACCTTGATGATAGCCCTGTTTGGATTGGCAACCTGTTGACTGATGATTCGCTGGGGGTTGCTAAGACCCGTTTGATAAATGTTGTGTAATCTGTGTGTTTTTTCCTTTGGGGTTCTTTAACCCCCTTTTCTCATCAAAAAAAAAAAGATCAAGTTCCGGTTTCAGTCTGATTGACGGTCACAATGGTGTTGCCATGAGTAGGAAGCTTGCGGAGAGATTTGCCAAGTTGAGGAAGTTGTCAACTTTTGATAGATAGTCATCTAACGAAAGATGCGCAAAACTGTTATTGCGTGACTGGGAGTGTTCCATTTCTCATATCTATAGAGAACAAAACATTGATGCTGACCATATGGCACATATTGGTCAAAGTTCCAATTTGGGTTATCATGTTGTTGACCTTCCCCTTCCTTCTATTGTAAGCCTCTTGGCAAATGACTCTGTTAGGATGACCACTGCTAGGCTTGTCCCAGTGTAGTTTTCTCTTTGGTTTTCTTTCTTGGGCTTCGGCCCTCCTTGTAACTGGAAAAAAAAAAAGATGCGCACAACTAGTATCCATGATATGCTTAATATAAGAACTAGCACCAAATCTTGCACCTACTCCCGTTGCTAGCAGGGATGATATAACCTGCATGCAAGTGCAACCAATCAAACAATATAGGTAGAATATTTTTCAGGTTGTATTTCATTCTTCGAAAGAAGTTATTTATAATACAAGGTTATAAATCCTAATAGGGTTATACTAGAAAATAAGATAAAGTTCTAATTACATAAGATTTATACAAAAGGGAAATAAATAGAATCCTAATATACTAGGAAGTAAATCTCCTAATTACACTAGGATCTCGGCAACACTCCCCTTCAAGTTGGAGCAAAGATGTCGCGCATGCCCCCTACAAGCCGTTGATAACGCTTCTTATCAGTCGGAACTTGATTAGGATATAACCCCAATTTATGATTCTGCTCACTAGGGGTATCAATCGGTTTACAATACAACATCCCAGTTTCTGCAAGTAAATCAAAAACATACTTTCTTTGTGATAAAAAGATACCATGTTTAGACGTGGCAACTTCAATCCTAAGAAAGTACTTTAAATCACCCAATGATTTCATCTCAAACTCAGAAGCCAGATACTTCTGAAGACTATGTATTTATATATGATAATCTCCAGTCACAATCATATCATCAACATAAATAATTAAAGCCGTCAATTTCATCTTTATGACGCTTTAGAAACAAAGTATGATTTAAGTTACTTTGCACATACCCAAATTTCTTCATAAATGTAGCAAATCCTCCAAACCACACTCTTGGAGATTGTTTTAACCCATACAAGGACTTCCGCAGCCTACACACAACACCCTCCTTAGAGGTTACAGGAATACCAGGAGAAAGATCCATGTAAATCTCTTCATGAAGGTCACCATGTAGGAATGCATTTTT